GGAGCAGTCCTGGATTTATTACAGACAGCCGGGGAGCTCCTGTGATCAGAGCTCTACTTACCAAGCACATATGCACCTGTTTTCTCTGATCACACATATAGGAACACAAGAACAGCCATACTGGGTCACACCAAAAGTCCATCTAGCCCAGTGTTCTGTCTTCTGACAGTGGATGGTGCCAGAAGCTTCAGAAGGAATGAACAGAACAGGGCAATTTATTAAGTGAGCTATCCTCTGTCATCCAGTCCCAGCTTCTAGCAGTCAGAGGTTTAGGGACATCTGGAGCATAGGGTTGCATCCCTGTGTATCTTGGCTAATAGCTATTGGGGGACCTGTCCTCCATTAATTTATCTAATTCTTTTTTCAACCCAGTTCTCCTTTGGACTTAACAACATCTCTGGCAACAAACTCCTCAGGTTGACTGGACCTTGTGTGAAGAAGTACTTCCTTACATTTGTTTTAAACCTGCTGCCTATTAATTTCACTGGGTGACCTCTAGTTCTTGTGTTATGTGAAGGGGTAAAGACGACTTCCATATTCCCTTTCTCCACAACAGTTATTATTTTATAGACCTCTATCATATCCCACCTTACTCATCACTTTTCCAAGCTGAACCGTCCCAATCTTTTTAGTCTCTCCTCATATGGAAGCTGTTCCATACGCCTAATCATTTTTGTTTGACCTTCCCTGTACCCTTTCCAATTCTAATATGTCTATTTTTGAGATGGGGCAACCAGAACTGCCTGCACTCTTCAGAATGTACCATGAATTTACATAGCAGCATTGTGATAGTTTCTGTCTTATTATCTATCCCTTTCCTAATGATACCCAACATTGTGTTAGCTTTTCCCCCCACCTTTGCACACTGAGTGAATGTTTTCAGAGAACTATCCACAATGACTGCAAGATCTCTTCCTTGAGTGGTAACAGCTCGTTTAGATCCCATCGTTTTTATGTACAATTGGGATTATGTTTTCAAATGCACATTAATTTGTATTTATATACATTGAATTGCATCTGCCATTTTGTTCCCCAGGCACCCAATTTTCATAGAATCATAGGACTGGAAGGGACCTCAAGAGGTCCTCTAGTCCAGTCCCCTGCACTCATGGCAGGATCAAGTATTATAGACCACTCCTGAGAGGTGTTTGTCTAACCTGCTCTTAAAAATCCCCAGTGATGGAGATTCCACAACCTCCCTGGGCAATTTATTCTAATTCTTAACCACCCTGATGTTAGGAAGTTTTTCCTAATGTCCAACCTAAACCTCTCTTGTTGCAATTTAAGCCCATTGCTTCTTGTCCTATCCTCAGAGGTTAAGATGACCATTTCCCCCCCCCCCCACCCACCTTGTAACAACCTTTTATGTACTTGAAAACTGTTGATGTCCCCTCTGTCTTCTCTTTTCCAGACTAAAAAAAACATTTTTTTCAATCTTCCCACTCATTATTCCTTTCCAGAATAACTGTGAACCATTAATAACTACTCTCTGGGAGCTGTTATCCAACCAGTTATGCACCCACCTTATAGGAGAGCCATCTAGGATGTATTTCCCTAGGTTGTATTTTATGAGATTCCTTTGGAAATCCTTGCAGAGCTTTGGACTTAATTATCTTGAGTAATTTTGTATTATCTGTAAACTTTGCCACCTCACTGTTTACCCTTTTTTCCAGATCCTTGATGAATACATTGAACAGCACTGGTCCCAGTACAGATCCCTGGGGCCCCCATTATTTACCTCTCTCCTGTGAAAACTAACCATTTTTTCCTACCGTTTGTTTCCTTTCATTGAACCAGTTACTGATCCATGAAAGGACCTTCCCTCTTATCCCATGACTGCTTCCTATGCTTAAGAGTCTTTGGCAAGGGACCTTGTTAACAGCTTTCTGAAAGTCCAAATACATTATATCCACTGGATCACCCTTGTCCACATGTTCCGTGACACCCTCAATGAAGTCTAGTAGATTGGTGAGGAATGATTTCCCTTTACAAACGCCATGTCCACTCTTCCCCAACATATCATGTTCATCTCTGTGTCTGATAATTCTGTTCTTTACTATAACTTCAACCAAACTGTCTGATCCTGAAGTTAGGTGTACCAGCCTGTGATTGCCAGGATTGCTTTGGAACCTTTTTTTAAAAATCAACATTACATTAGCTATCTGGTACAGAGATTCATTTAAGTGATAAGTTATATACCACAGTTAGTAGTTTTGCAATTTCATACCTGAGTTTCTTCAGAACTTTTGGGTAATATCATCTAAGTCCTGGGGACTTATTACTGTTTATTTTATCATTTTCCCCCCAAATCTTCTCTATTGACACCTCAATCTGAGACCTTTATTCAGACCTAACAAGAATGGCTCAGGTGTCAGAATCTCCCTCACATCCTCTGCAGTGAAGACGGATGCAAAGAACTCATTTAGATTCTCTGCAATGGTCTTGTCTTCTTTGAGGGCTCCTTTATCACCTCAGTTGTTCAGTGGTCGCACTGACTGTTTGGCAGGCTTCTTTCTTCTGATGTACTTTGAAATGTTTTTGCATCTTTAGCTAGTTGCTCTTCAAATTCTTTCTTGGCCTGCCTAATTATCCTTTTACACTGGACTTGCCAGAGTTTCTGTTTCTTTCTATTTTCCTCAGTAAGATTTGACTTTCAATTTTTAAAGGATGTGTTTTTGCCTCTAATCACTTCATTTATTCTGTTGTCTATCCATGGTGGCATTTTTTGTCCTTTTACAGTTTTGTTTTATTAATTATTAGTATTTATTATTATTTGGGGTACACAAATACACCCAAAGGGGTCAAGGACAGTGGCTCATCCCTCTCCCCCTTCTCCCAAGGGGCACAGTCCATGCAGTTCACCTCAGGTCACAACCACAGCTCTGCCAAGCTGCTCCCATAGATCCCCTCCACCCTTCAGTACAGCTGCACCTATCAGTGAATGCAGCTAGAGCGCATGCAGATGATTTCCAGTGGCTATTGCCAGCACCAGAGGGGGCAGAGTAAAGGCCATGAGGGCAAATACCTCAACTCTGTATTCCCTGTTTTTCCAACTTGTCATTGCAGAAGGGTACAAGATACCATAAGGCAACTGCATTAAGAAAGGTTTTAGTCAGTGAGTTTAATCCCCTTTCCATAGCCCCTTCTTCCGTCACTGCAGCTCCAAACCTCTTTCCTGTGCTCCTCTGCTCCCTAATTCCCACTCCTCCCCAGTGAGCATTTTCACGTGGAATTTATTTTCTTTTCAAAAATATTAGAGCAACCTCTGAGTAGCTGCTGTACTCAGATTACATTTCCCCCAAAATAAAACCCCCTATTATAGTAAGGCACCTTCCAATTTCTACCCACGATCGGATTTAAACTCACAGGGCCTGGGTGAGTACTCAGCTGTTAGAGCCAAAACAGTTTATGTTAAGCCACAGAACCTCTGAGTCAGAGCTTCCTTTCAGCGCTCTTGGACTGTCTCTCGGCAGGTGCTCAGTAGAATTCATTTGGCTCCTGGGTGTTAGACTATACAGAGAGCTCAGCCTTTTTCGACTGTGTTCTGCCAAAGTGAGCTAGGCAGGCATCTCGCTCATGGTCACAAGAAATGGCTTTGGAGCCTAAGCAGCCTGACTCCAGGAGAGGGGTTCGTGGATGTGGCCAGCAAGCAGAGCCAGGCACCTCCCTGCAGCCTGGACTTAGGCACCAAACTCTGTGAGAAGGATGGGGCTTAGAACACACCCCTCTACCATTGGCTGTCTTAGGTGGCTTTTATGGATCCCATTCTAACGTGCATCTCTCTCCCCATCATTGCAGAGGGGCTATGTGGATCACAGTGGTGTTCCACTGATTTTTCTAGGCATCTAAAAGTTTGGTGTTGTGATGTTCATTGTTGGAACACCCAAGGCCCTTTGCAGGTCTGGACTTGTGGAAATTAGTTTAGCTCCATTGATTTCAATAGCATGATTTTGCTTTATACCAGCAGATCATCTCACCTAAGAGGTCATTTCTGTACAAAGCCCCCTTTTTTGTTGTTGCTTGTAAGGTTTTCTTATCACCCTCTGATGTGCAATTTCCTCAGATTTAGGCTTACCCTATTTTAAAAAATGTTAAATTGAATAGTAAATCTTCTATTAGAACAGGAAAACATCACCACCGTGCTATGGGGATACAACCATGTACAAAAAATTGACTTATGCAAAGAGGAAGAATGAGACTTACCAAATGACTGTGATTTCTTTTCCTCATTCAAGAACACATTTATTTACTTACCCTACTGGCTATTCCACAGGGAGCACCAATGTAGCATGAGGGTGCACTGCACTTTATTAGCAAAAAGTGATTTTAAGTAGATCTATCAGGCTTTTCATTGTCATGGGTGAAGTGAGACCAGAGACAGACATAAGTGACCCCAGAGAACTGGGAGACAGAAGACTGAGCAGAATGCAGATAACACTGCTTTGATCTGGGTCTCTCTGGTTCAGCCCCACTGCCCAATTTTCTCCTCCTTCCAGTTAAATCCCTCCCCTGCACACACACCATACATGGAAATGTCATGGTCTGTTGCATTTAGGACAAGATTGTATCTTGCGCAACACCCTGACACAAGGGAGTAAGGGGGAAATGAAACTCTAGTCCCATGCATGGGCTCCCTGGATCCTTGCCATGTGCATTGGATTGGGGGAGGCTCTGCTGGCACAATACGCACCACTGCAAAGGTGGGTGCTGAATGGACAAAGAGCAGCGGACAGTGGACAGAGCTTTCACTCCACGGTACAATGCTGTAGTCAAGTATTGGGGGAGATGTTCTCTGTGCCTGGAGCTGGTGCAGATTACTACCCTCCCCCCACCCCAGACCAAAGGGGAACCTTAGTAACATTTCCTTCCCTATGCTGCTGGTGGTGGTGCAATCAGATGCTTCCCATCACACCTGGCCCAGTGTCAAACCTTTCACTGTACTAATTTCTTTGAAGAAAATCTCTTGTGAATTTCACTGTATTTCCTGCTCCTAAAGTTACCTTTGATCTTGAAGAGATAAGCAGTAAGGGCAAAGGAACCAAGCAAAACCACCAGGATCACACCCAGAGCCACCATCCAGGGATTCACCTTTGGGAAAAAGGGATCTGAAAAACAAAATCCCAGAGGGACTCATATTACTCTGTAAGCAGGGACAAAAATGACTCCAACCAAGACAGCCATTAAATTTGTACATCGGTGTATAAGTGAACCTGGTTTGATTTGCAATGAGAGGCAATATTCTCCAGTCCCTTGGGCAGTGGGATGGGATTTGTGAGACCTGAGTTCTGGTCCAAGATTTGCTGGTGACCTGCTGTGGGCGCTTGGACAAGTCCTTTCCTCTCCCTGTGGCTCCATCCCCTCTCCAGCCTTTTTTGTGTCTTGATTATTTAGACATCTTTTTCTTTGTAACAGGAACTGACTCTCACTCTGGTTTTTTTGCAGTGCTCAGCACAGCCTCGCTACAATCTCACGTGAGGCATCTAACATAATACTGCTACTAGCAATAGTAGCGACCACGAGTCAGAGTGCTGCAGGGTTAAAGTCGTTGATCAGAGTGGTGTTATGCCAGGGGAGAGCAAGGCTATCAATGTTAAAGAACACAGAAATTGCCAGGTTGTCTGAAAAATTGCTTGTCAATCCACTATCTCCCCCCAAATCTTTCAATGAATCATAATCACAATTCATCCAAACTTATTGCGCAGGAAACTACTGTGATCCTCCTGTTTAAACCTAAGGTCTAAATCTCACCCTTCTTCCTATACAACATCTCCCAGGTCTGATCTTTTCTCTCTGCCCACACTTCCCAAACTCTGGTCTGAACCTCGATCATCCCACATCTTCACTGCAGTGATCTCCTTCTCCCAGGACTCAGTCTTCCCCTCCAAATCAAATTGATGCAAAATACCTCTGCTAAGATGTCGTCTGACTATATTACCGGCCTCTTTAAATCCCTGCATTGGCTCCTCTCTTCCAATGCATCAGACACAAATTTCTTGTTCTCACGTACAAAGCTCTCCAGGTTAGCCCCACTCCAGTATATCACCACCAGATTGATTCCCTGTTTACGTCACCAGTGATGCCAACTTCTAATTTTCTACTTCTTCAACAAGGTATTTTGTGCTTTCACACAAACCGCCCCTTAAGAATGGGGAAAATACCAGTCAAAAATCTGTAAAGCCAATATCTTGTCCTGCTTTCGGTCTCTCCTCAGAAGTCATCTCTGCAATGATGCAACCTGAGAATGGCTAGGCAAGTGGTGAGCTGTGATCATCACTATTTGCAGTCAAGGATTTAAGAAATGATAGATGATAGTGGTGATGTCTTGGTCCCGCTGAACTCAATAAAAGTTTTGCCATTGACTTCAGTGGGCCAAGGATTTCCATAGGGGGTGAGCCTCGCAACAGAGCTAAGTGCTGTTCCCTCACCCCAAAATGGTCAATGGATTATCTAATAATCACACATCTATGTAAGCGTGGGGAGAATTTTGTCTACTGTGCTTTCCTTTTACTGTTCACTCAAATGCAGTTAAAGGATTAGAGTGAGAGATTCAAAATCTCCTAAATCAAAGAAAGCAAATGGAACAGAACATTCTTCAGACAGGTCAATTCCCTCATCATTTTTGGTAGAGAAGTAAAGTAACTAGATTGGTCTGATTACTCTTCAGTCTATACAGTATGGGTGGGTGTGACACTCCATATTCACCACAGTCATATAATTATGATAAGTTTTGTATAAAGTATGCCTTGTAATGTACCATTTTAAGTCTTGATCTATTGAACATTAATATCTTGTTGGATTGTATGTATGTAAAGTTATTAATTTGTGCTATATGTGTGTTACTGAAAGATGTTGTAAAGTTGGACATATCCACAACTGGCCTTTCAGGTACAATGAAGAGCTAGACAGTGCTAATGGCCCATCAGCTAAGACAATGGGCCATGGAAAAGGCTTATCCTCAACTGTGTATGCTTCAGCCAGATTGTGGATGATGGCTGCTATGACTCATCAATCATGCAGGGGCATGTGACCAGACCACATGATACTGAACTCCATGTAGGTACCTGTATTTTTCCACAAACTGGGCTGGGAACTTAGCTTGAAACAAAGCGGCTCTCACCATACGGAAAGACTATAAAAGATGGGGTGTGACATCACCAACGTCCTCACTCCCTCTGCAAATCAACACTGGAGGAACAACGATTGAACTGGGGAAAGTGCTGATTCCAGACTAAAAAAATTTCTAGCTTATGTATGGACACCTGATGGTACTATTGATACTGCTTGATTCAAATCCTGTGTAGTATATTAGGCTTAGATTGTGTTTTTATT